CAGTTTAATTGACTTCTAAATTATGACATTTTTAATGACACAATGAATAATCTTTTAAAGTCTAACACAGGTCTTTATTGAAGCACAAATTTAAGAGATATCCCTGATTAATACAAGGACCTGCCCACCTGTGAATATTGCCCAATGTGAAGAATGTTACAAAATAAAAACGTGTCTTTAAAAATTTGAACATATTACTTCAATATTGTTTAACATGTTTGTATGAAAATTGCACTTATTATACAGTGTCATATAGCCTTTCTGATTATGTAGGCCATGTGTTGAAAATCAGTACAAGGGAACAAAGTGAAAAAGTGTGAATAGTTCTAAATTGTTTACCATTAAATAAAACATTTAAGTCCATTTTCCATCAAAACGTTAGCATATTCATTGAAACAGAAGTGGACATAATTATTCAAATTTTGATTACAGATTCTTTTTCTTTCTCCTCTGCCTCTTGTATTCCCCCATCCCAGGCCAACCTATTTTGGAAATAATATCTGAATTAATATTTCAGCTGGGACAAAGACAGTACTGGTAAAAGAAGGCAATAGGTGGAAAATGTTCTAAAATTAGTATTTTTGCTCTTCTGTTCCTGTATGTAAATAATACTTTTGCTTGCTAAGCATTTATTTATTGCCTAGTATTAAGCTTTAGAACTTTATGGAATAGAAAATAAGCAGAAGACAAGGCCCATATCCTTACAGTTTTTAATCTTCTAGGAATGAATTTAGATTTCATTTCTAAGAAAAAAATCAGAATCCATCAAAAAACAATATTATGTCTTGTAAAATCACAAACAGGTTGCATATAACCTAGGCATGTGGAGAACTGAAAAATCTATGTGGGTCAGAGTGATCAAAGGTGAAACTTGACTGGATTCTCCTTTTAGGGAGAAGTGTGTGCCAATATACCGTGTGTGCATGTGTATGTGTGTGCATGTGTGTGTGTGTGTGTGTGTGTTTATTGACTGGTGATAAAGAATGAAATATAGGAAAGAATGAAAGAATCTGGGTAGATGAAAACAGAGCTATATCATAAAAGGTCTTGGTGTATTTTGAATTCAATCTCATGTACAAATAGACACCAAAGGTTCTTAAAATAGTGATGTCATATTCTAAGCCACTTAGAAATTTGTCCCATTTTTTCCCTGGTACTTTCAAACTATCCTATTCATAAATGTTTGTTTGTTTTATATTTTTAGTGTCACTGGTTCCCTTCACTGAAGCAACCCTACCGTTCTCTGTCATTTCTTAGGTAGCTTCTCTTTATGATTACTTACATGCCACATTCTAATTTCTCCTGCTAATAATGAAATGTATTTAAGTGTATTTTTCTGTCTCTTGCCATAGAGGAGTATCAAAGGCAGTAAGTTAAATCTCCATTTTCCTGTATGTTCCCCCTCATTCTTTATGATGAATATGCTATACTTGATCATAATTAGTCACTGAAAGTATAGTTTTAGTTGGCTGCAAATAGAATAGTTTTAGGTTGAGTATGAGAATATATTTTGTAATGTGCATAAAATTTAAATTGATCTGAAGATTAAAACAGAGCAAATTTTCCTTAGCAAAACTCAATACAGTAGAAAATGTCTTTCTCCCTTCTTGTTTTTTCTTCCTGAAAATGACAGTTTTCCATGCTCATGATGGAAATACAAAGCACTGGAACTCAGGCACTGCAGAAAATGCTAAAAACCTTCCAGGCATAACAAATAATAGCACCACAGAGAAGAACACAGGTTCTTTCTGCATCGGGGCACTGAGTAGCATCATATCTAGAGGCATTGATCCAATAATTGTACAGAATTTTCAATGCACTAGAAGTATATCAAGATCATGTAAAACTAGGAACATTTGTCTCCTTGAATTATGAATTCTGGGATGCATGAATATTTTCCCATGCTTCCTACCAAATTCTTTATTGGTAGCTAAAAAGTTACTACCATGATAAGAATAATATCTTACCTAGTTCATTCCCTTAAAAGTCAACAAGCCACAAGACTCAATATATAAAATGGGATTTTTATAAGCAAGCCATTTTATTGCTGTAAATCAGATTGTAAGTTAAAAATACACCATTATTTCTAGCCATTTAAATGTAAGCCTTGTATATGATTAAAAATAATAAGAAAATGGCATTGCATTTAAAAGCCAATATCTTTTTCATGCATGCAAGGCACAGAAAAAACAACTACAAAAGTAGGTTTATGCTCATTTTTCAAGTCTTAAGGACTAAAACCTAAGCCAATATCAGATTTGATTAAAGGATTTATTAAGCACTCTGTACATTATACAGAGTAGATGCTTATTAAGTATCTGTTCAAAAGTGGATCATTCTGAAATCATAAACTGTAAAGGTACTAAAACATCTTTTTATATTTTATGTTTTATATATTTGATCTAGAAACTTGAAGCAGATGTGGTTCCCTCTAAAAGAAATTTATGAATTATTTATAATTGAAGACAGAACATAAAAAGGAATAACAGTGCACAAATAACCATAATTTGGTCATTTGCAATGGAAGCAGAGCATCAAGTCTGCCTGATTAAAATTAAAAGTGCTATTACGAAGTTAGCCCATGAATAAAGCAAAAGCCCAGAGAAAGAGTATTTTAATGTGCTATATATAGATATTCTCCAGGGTCACAACCAACAAGCTGGAATCAGCTCGGGCCCACAAGTGCTTAGATAGGAACCTAGTTAGTTTTAATAGTGTACGTAGGTAGTGACTCTCAGTGAACCACTGTTCTTTGTGGGAAGCTATGTTGGTTAGGAATAACCATGTCATTAATGTCCTGGAAACATCTATGACCCAAATAAACAAACTAAAGATTTTTCCAAGCCAGAGGAATTTCATTATACAGAGAGCAAACTAAAGGTCAAGTGAATTGACCATGGCCCCAGCTGATCAGCAAACAAGATCCTAATACCCAGCCTGACATCCTTTGCCCTCTCACTAGGGGTAATTAAATAGAAACAGTGTTTCCTGAAACCACAGACCCTACCATCCTGGAGCCAGGAGAAGAGAGCAGCTGTTCTAGAAGATGGACTAGCCTTGATACAGTAACTGGTAAAGTAAGAGTTCAAATAACAAGAATGATGCTCAGCTTACATGAAAGCAAGGGCAAAACAACAGTTTAAAAATGCAGTGAAGAGGCAGCCAGGTACATAAACAACCGCCCATATGTCAATTAATGGAAAAGTGTGAGTACTACGTGGATGGGTTAATACGAAATGAGCAGTACTTATGGGTTAATTGTCATAATCGCCGTGAATCATCTGTTTACTATGTGTAGATCTAAACAGTACTGTTACCAAAGACTATGGAGAGATGCCAGAGTAGGGGACAAAGTGTAATCAGCTGGTGCACTCATTAGGAATGGTGTCCCTGGAAGGTGGAACTTTAAAGGGAGACTTGACAGACTCGGTGAGAAGTTCTTACGAATCTTGCAAAAATCATCTAGTTCATCTCTTCCCTTTATAAAATGTGAAAACACTGATGTAGTACTAAAGAATAAGATCACATCTAGGTAATGCTGTCCACCTGGTGTGAGTTGTGTAACCCACTTTTAAACTCTGAGCAACGTCCTTCCAAAAAATCATTTGAAAAATCAGATGGGTTCTCCTTTTCCTTCAGTAACAGGATCCTACATGAAAGCGGTGAGGGATATTGTAACCTACTACTATTCTTTGGTTCCTTCATATTTTCAATAGGTAAGAAGGGCAGAGAGCAGACAGCAAGGTAGAGTTGAATTCGAAAGGCCTGGAGTTCTCTTTGTGCTCTGTCCCTTTTATTCTCTTTAGTTTCTAACCTTCTTCAATTACTTTGTTATATTTAACAGCAGCAGCAGCAGCAGCAATAACAACAATAGCCAACATTCATGAGTTCCTACTCTGGGCTAGGTGTTAGAGTAAGTGCTTTAGATCTACGCTTTGCATAGTACTAACTTGTGTGAGTTACCTCTCGTGTTTCAGCTTTTAAATATGTATAGAGGGGCCTGGGATTTAGCTCAGTGGTTCCCCTGCCTGCCTCGAAAGCTCAAGGTCCTGAGTTCAATCCCTGGTACCAAAACCAAAAATGTATAGAAAATAAGAGCACCTGTTTGTGATAATAAAATGAATTAATATGGAAACGGTTTAGAACAGTGTTTGGTACAAAGTAAGTACTTAATAAATAGTTATTATTTATTATCTCCAAATTTATTATTTACTTGTTGCTATTTCTTATTCTCCAATTTACAGGTAAGCAAATTGAGTTTCAGAGAATTATATCGTCTTGCTCAAGACCATGGAGCTAATAAGGGACATTATAATAAGGACTTAAACCTCCAAATCTTATACCCTTTAACAGCTCCATCATGCTTTCTCCCCACTTCCTGTACTTAGGCTCCAATACTGCCATATACAATTCTCTGATTAGAGGAGCCTTGCATGGAACACATTGGGAGCTTTCAAATGGTCTTATTCTGTGGTCATCTTGTTATTCTTTCTATCTGAAACGGTTTCCCTAACTTTGTCAAGCACAAAAACTTAAAATTATCCTTCAAGCCTTAGTTCACTCGTCACCTTTCCCATCTCACCTCCATTCTCCCCTCTTCACAGAGCTAATTGCTTGTCTGTGTTCCCTTCACGCTTATCTCACATATCTCCCTTACAGCACTTATCACATTGTCTCATAATGTGTTTCTGTCTCTACTGCAAGATGTGAACTTCATTACAGTAAAAAGTAAAGTTGTTTTTTTTTGTTTAAGATGCCACGCTCTCCAAGGGTACTGTGAGGATGCACTCGATACACCTCCTCAGTAACCCTAGGGCGTAGATATATACAAGTGGTGGTGAACCTATGGCGTGCATGCACCAGCCGTTTGTTATTGAAAACTCTTACAGGTTTACCATCACTGGTATATACTATTTCTTTTCTTTTTTTATGGATTAGGCATAGAGAGGTTAATTTTCTAGAACCTATATGCAATAGGCACAAAGTAAGTGATTGCTGAATTAAACTACATCTAAATGAAAGTGCTTACTAAACATAACCAAAAATTCCCCTTCTCACTGGAGAAAATGAACTTTCACCATGGTTTTGGAGGAGGATAAAAGAACAAACTCCTCTTTCATCTACTTAGAGGTTTTCTTTCCTAAAGCTATGAAAATAAGCAAGTAATTAACTTTAACTAGTTCAAGCTGAAGTATCAATTAGTTTTTACATTTTTAACATTGTAATCACTTTCCATGTACTATAATAAATGATTTGCTTTCCTATCCCATGATCTTGAATACCTACCTGTGTTAAATGTTACAATATTTTATTGCCTTTGAATGTCATAAACCAATACACACATTACAGTCTCAGCTCTAATATTTTTGTTAAGAACTTAGTATTTGCTAAATTCAGATGGAGGAAAAGAAACTGCAACTGTCTTTAAGGCAGACACTGATGCCTGTCTTTCTGAAGATGTCCTGCAGCACCAGAAGGAGCTGGGGGCTGGCTGTGAGTGCCAGGTTTGAAGAGTTCCAACTCTCAAACACCTGTGACTTTTGGTGGACCTTTATCTAGCAAGACTCAGAAGGAAACACATTCTCTGGTTTTCTTCTGGGGGCCTTTTAGGTTTCACTACTTGTATTAACTCTCTAGTATGGTGAAAGAAAAACTGATTTTTAAAAGCCTTTTAACCCAGAGGGTTTGAGCAGCTAATGGACATTATCCTTTTTTTGGGGGGGGGAGATAATGTAAAAGTTCCTTCCCCATTTAAAAAACAGTCACATTTATATAATAGTTTTATAAAGTTAAAGCCTTTTGGTTTTATTTTATTGTTTAGAGCCTGTTACACTGCAGCATAATGCTGAGAATTATTCATCCCCTGGCCTCCAATAGTCCTGATGTTGTTCCAGTTTTCAATACCCCTTTAACTTAGGTGTCTATTTTGACTACTGGCAAAAAATAATCCAGACATGTATAAACAATATCTTCATTTTAACCTCTATACAGACTATTATGAATTTGTGCCTCAACATTCAGCAGTTCTTTTATTTTAATGTAGTATAAATAAAGTTTTTGAGAGGATGGGAATGTCAGAGAACACTGTCATGCCCAAAGTTGAGAATAAGAACAAAAAAACTTCAGCAACAAACAATTATCTGCAATTTCCATTCAAAACATTTATAAGAGAATATTAACAGACATGAAAGTAATGTATTTTTGCATAGAAAAACAAACAAGATTGGGGAATCATAATCCACAACTCTGGTAACCATCTATCTTGATTAATGTCTTTAGTTAGTATTTGAAACATGAACATTTATCATCTTAGCTCTTTTCTTTCCTTTTTAATATGGAATTAGTAAGCTGGGGTTTGGGTGCAAGTGTGTGTAATAGCACACAGTCTATGCTACACATGGAGAGCACAGAAGTAAAGAGTTTTGGTTCTGTTTGCATCTGCCCTGCAGTAAGCCCAGTGGCAACAAAACTCATTATTGAAGTGGCAGTACTTGGGGCAGGGATTTGGCATTTAGATTTTTGCTGTGATTTGATATATAGAATTAAGAACACAGGAATTGGTTCCAAAACACAGCATGGTGATTCATCAAAGTGTGGGAGAAATGGTCCTGCTACTTACAGTAGAATGGGGCTTCCCTCTGAATTGAGAGATTACGATATATAAGAGATCTCAAGGAACACTGGGCAAAAATAAAAGATAATAAAAGATAAGGCACTGTAGTGAAAATGGAAAGCATCCAATTTATGGCCATCAAAACCTATTCCATCTTAGGAATGTTTGCTACCGTAACACTCACCACTTATTTTATTACATATTAATTGTTTCTTTCCCACTAGACTAAGAAATCTCCATGTCTGATTTAGGTAAGTTTTCACTGTGCCTACAGCACCAAACCCAGGGCCCAGCAGGTGTTTTTTGAATGAAAGAATAAATGAGTAAATAATTCAGCTAGTTTTCATGGGAGTAGAGGTAAATGGGTAAGTGGCCACATCCATGCGTCTACAATGACAAATCAGTTAAAGTTGATGATGCTGGTGTTGAAATCCAATCATGTAAAATCTATAGAAGACAATTCAGTCGATAGATTGTTTTATCTTCAAACAATGTTTCTCGTCTTACCATTATGATTAATTTTGTGTTATTTATGTGGGGCCTGGGTGGGAAACTGGGCAAGTTACTCACTTCCTTCTGACCTAGTTAACATCTTCATGGGATTCTACATTAACAGAGTGAATGCCTAGCTCCTGCCCAGTATCTTGAAAATAAAATTTTGGGGCACAAAAGGAATCAGATGAGATGGTATAGATGCATCCCTGAAAACACATCTCCACTATGATGGAAAATAATTTAAGACAGTTAACCTCCAATGTGTAATTAGTCCAAGAGGGACACATTATTACTTGTAATGAGTTTTTCTAACAAGGAAGTTGGATTCCCCAGTGGAAATGTATTTTTATGGATTGAAGAGCAGTAACATTTTCAAGTTGAATTAGTTACTGTTTTTAAATATTGAATATTGGAATGGATATCAAAATAGACAATGTGGTTTGGTCATAAAGACACTGACCTAGACTTTTATGTTGTTTGATTACCACTATTATTCATTGACTTATAAATAGCATTGATTAACTAGGGATGAATCTCATCCACTGCTTCCCCCTTGACCTGCAAATGCCAAGTTAATCTAGAGCAGGCTTACATGAAAGTTACTACAGTTCAGCTCTGTTCAGTGTTCACTGGAGTTAGTCACTTAACCCAAACTGAATCTGAATCTGTTACTCGAAATAGCTAGGTGGAGACATGCAGCCTCACTTGGCTCTTGCTCTGATTCCTTGGGCTCCTACTCTTAATCCACATTTTGGTTTTCTTTTCTATAAAACAGAAATGAGTGTTGATAAAGCCTGTTCTCTTTTGTCTCACGTTATTGCTGAATTTTCTATTGATTGCTGGTGATATTTGAACCTCTAAGAAAAATTCTCCATAAAGATAATCATTATAATTATAACTTTCCTCTAAATGTTTTTGTTTGAAACATAATATTATTAGAACATCTCTTAATAACATCTTCTGTATTGTGTTTTAGATAATGGTTTTAGTACCAACTAGGAGCCTTTACTGCTAGATCAAACTCACTGTTGTGCATCAAACTTTGTCTCAGATTCAATCAACTTTGGTGGAGTAAAAATGAGCCCAGAGTGCTCACTATATCATGGCTTGAGCTGTCCTTATATGAGCAAAACTGAGTAATTTTAAATGTCATTGAAACATTTTAGTTATCTTGTTCTTATTTAAATTGATACTATTTATAGAAGTCATATATCAATAAAAAATTATGTTCAACTAGATTCCTAAATTTGGTTTTCAAATACAAAAGCCCCATAAATAAAACAATGAAAATCAAACAAAAACTAACTTCCTCTCCCTTTTTCATGTCATGGTAAAACATTTGTCTTATGAGTTATATATTTAGAACCCCAAATTTCTGCTATGCACAAATTAAACTGTGATAATTGTACTAAAATTCTGAACCAGCCTATTAAGCAAGTATACATTTTTAAATACTACTTGCATGTAAGAATAGAGGGATGATTATGAAAAGCTACCAGTAATGCTTTTTTAGATGATATTATGTCTGTTTATCAGCTCATTATCATTCATACATTTCCAATTCCAAAATACAGTAACTATAAAAATAAAAAAATCAAAACCCAAAATCATAATAAAGCAAGTTTTCCTAGTTTGTGCTTGCCTCCCAGATTTAAAAAAATGATTGGTATATGCCAAAAATGTAAAATTTATTCCAAGAAAATTAACAGGCTACACAAATAAATTTTGGCAAATGCAACTTTATATTGAAGTTCACACATCTGTATCTTAAAGAATGAGACTCACAGAATCTAATGTATTTCTAAAATACCTGAAATCATATTATAAGCTTTCACAAGTTAAAACTCAAATAATTTAAACGACCAATACACTGAATGTGCAGAAAATATAAACAAGACTGTGCCTTTCATAGAATAAATGCTTCACAAATTGTGCAGGATGTCATACTAAGGCTGTGGTCTCCTCTTGACAGTTGACTTAAAATATAAACATACTTCAACTGCCAGCTTCTCAGAACACACTAGAATGGGTAGCACACCTCAGAAGAAAATCTCCTTATTCCAATGATGTGCACCTTAATTTTCAAACCATGTGAGGAAAAAGGGAAAAGAGTACTAAATGATCTTCCATGCACTTTCAGATGAATGACCATGACTGATTTTATGTCCCTTGACTATTTGCTCCAATGCTAAATAAGATGAAGGATACTAGATAACCCTTTAAGGCAACATGTGTTTATTCTGCATTATTCGAATTGCTCAGTTTTGACCAGCTTGTACCATTAATGTTGCCTCCCAGACCAGTATCTAGCATTTGTAAAATATAAATGAATTGGAAAACTTTTATACTAAATCAACAAAAACCACAGAATACAGTTCAATGCTAGCAATTTCACTGTTAATTAAGGAAAAGTGGTATTTAGAAATAGCAATGTATTAATACAAAAAATTAAACTCTAATTGGAACCAATATACTGCTTTGGAATGCTCCCCCAAACTTACAAGGCGATTTTTAAAGTGGTATTCCAATAATTCATGGTACATCTTTAGTGGATTACAGTACTTTAAGTCCCCAAATAGTTTAGTCTTTGCAAAACAAAAATAGTATGAAATGTTTTAAAGTCTTCAAACTTCTAAAATTAGTTTTTATCAACACATTTACCTCATGTCAACTTAATTTATTAAGATGTCCAATGCTAATTGGATTTTCTGATGTTTTTTCTTAAGTAGTGATATACACAGCATTTAGCACTGATACTTAGCACCTGCTACTTTCATTATCTAGTTTTCAACCACAGAAAGAAACTTAGGGCAGTGGTTCAGTCCTTTCTTAATTACAAACCTTCACCGGCAGTCAGCAGGATCACTCTGAGATTTAAAATAGGATTATAGGTGAACTATTGCAAAGACTGCAGAATGTTGCCCAAATCCTTATAACTGCTGATCCCATTCTTGAATTTCTTCTCAAAATATGGCTACAGGCCACAATTGCTTAGCAGAGAAGGTTAGTGTTTCACAAGGCTAAAGATTTACAGATGCTCCCTCATATAACACAGTAAGGTTCCCTTGGTAACCTGGATTTTCTGCAGTAAAGAAGGGTTGTGCTGAAACAGCGCCTCAGCTCCCTGTTGGAGAAAATGCAGACAAAAGGATTGATTCCTGCTTGGGCAAAACTCATCCAGACAGCGGCCGTTAGAAATCCCCCTGGTACTACAGGCCCTCTTGCAAAAACTCTCCAATAACAGGCCACCAGGTAGGGGCCCCACAAGGTTAGGAAGAGAAAAGTCATTATATAGAACATTCTGCTGATTCTTTTCTCCATTTTGAACTCATCTAAGACCAACAGCCTTCTTCTGCCTGTGGTGTTTGCATTTTGCCTGATGCCCAGCAAGGTGGGTGGTGTGGGACCCCTTCCAAATCCTGCTAGCCAATTGGCAGCTGCCTGGCCACTGGCTCCAGGGCCATGAAAAGTCCAGTTCTGGCTGACTGCTGCTACAAACTGGACTGGCTTCATTTTCCTTCGATCATGGACAAAAAATATCAGCTTGAGGTAGACAAGCTGTGTGGCTAGGAGGATGAGGGCAAGGAGCAGCATAAATCCTAAGGAATCATTAGCCCTGAAGGAGCGGTGTTGGAAGGTGCACTGATCTTCTTCCCTAATGAACGAGTAAGTGCCCACATCTAAAACCGGGGGGAAAGCCATGGCCACAGACAGAGTCCACACCATGCAGATCACAGCCAGACACGTCCAAAAGGTCAGTCTCTTTGTATAGAAGCGGTGATGGGCGATAGCTAAGTATCTTGTGACACTGATGCAGAAGAGCATGAAAGCAGTGTGGAAACAGGATAAAACCCCCAGAAAGGCAATCACTTTGCAAGTCAGAGTCCCATAAGTCCAAGTAGAGCCATTTTTGACAGAGTTGAATACAAATGGAAAACAAATTGCAGATCTGAGGATATCTGAACAGCAAAGATCCAGCAGGAAGTAGTAAGGTGCTCTATGCAAGGTCTTATCTTTCACTAGCAAAATGGAGATCAGAAGGTTGCCCACCACGCTGACTCCTATTATGAAACCCAAGGAAGTCAGTTTCAGAAAGGCTGTTAGAGGCGAGAGATTTTGCAAAATGTTGTCAGCTGCATGGCTATAGTTCGCCATAGATAGATGGAGGATAAGGGTACAGCCTCAGTCAAGTCTCATGATCTAGATATAAGAACAAGGAAAAGATAGATCCATACATTTTACTGAAAATGTAATCCACAAAGAGAACTGATCGGATCTGCAGTCATGCTTCTTCTTTTCTTCCATTTGATTTGCCATCCAAATATCTGGAAAAAAAATGAACTATCAGTTCTTAAGTTAACAAGCAATGATGTCAGTGCTAACATAAGTGTTCATTTATGGGGAAACAAATAAAATTTTAATTTTGAATACTCTTACTTGCTTTAGTAAGTATTTTTGCTTCAGAATTCAGAGAACTAGCTTACTTAGTCTTCTAAGCTAGATGAATTAAAAAATGTCCCTCTTCTAGAGAACATACATTTGATTGGGTACCTTAAGAAGAGAATGAATAAAATGTTCCACAGTTGTAAGCTATGCCAGCCCAAGTATTAATCACTAGTATTGCAAAGGAATCTACCGATTGCTGACAGGAGAGAGAGAGGAGGCTACCTACATTTATGTGAGGTCTGTTAGTACTGTCAGTGTTTTACAGGCAGCTTCTCTGTTCATATGGATCCAAGGAACCCCTGCAAAATATATGTCTTTTAACTCAAGTGCCACTGTTCATACTGCATAAAAGTATTTGTTGATTCATCTTAAAACATAATCTCAACATTAGACTTCTAAATTAACAGGAACTTGTCCAAAGATTTGATGTGATATAATCTTTTGTCTTTCCCTCCCAACCCCATCCCCCATTTTTGGCAAATCTTGCCTCTTTTAAGCCCACATGATTATTAGGAATGGTTAATGTAAATATTGGTCAAGGAAACACACCCAGAGGAATAATGCACTTTGTGGCTGCCTAGATTCAAATGAATATAACATGAACCTGTATTTCTTGGGCAATTAAGCCTCTCTCATTTATACACTGCTAATCTTTGTTGCAAATCACAAGTGGCTTCATTTTAAAACGAAATGCACATTGTCTCCTAGATCCCCGGGAGCCACACCAGGGGAAAGGGCTTCCTCTCTTATTACCACCGAGCAGGTTTCCTTTGCCACTTCTCACTTGCCGGGAATATGCAGATGGAAGCCCAGGCAAAACTGCATTCGATGATTTTAATTTCCCCACCGGTACATCCCCGGGTAAATACCGATCGCATCATGCAACATTACGAAACCTGAAATCCGCCACCCCTGGATTTATAATGGGGGTGGGGGAGGGGAGGGGGAGAGAGACATGCATTACATACGCGAAGATGGGGAGAGAGATTGCTTCTGTGCTGCAAGGGAAGGGTTCCCGACGATTCGCAGTCTGATATTCCTCAGTCTTGCAAGGCTTTCCAGAAACGGAGCTCTTAGTAAGCCTTACTGAAGATGCATTGTCTGAATGTACTTCCATTATGCAGTTTATTGTCAAAAAAAAAAAAAAAACCACCAAAAAACCCCACCACCTCAGGGAGGGCTCTCTCCCGGCGAACCTGCAGTTTCATTCGCACTGTGCAAGCCCCCTCCCCCAAACTTAACCGAGAGTATATTCTCCTACCTGTTGGTGTTGGATATCCCGACAGACTATAGCTTCTTCTTTCTATAAATTGCTGATTTTTTTTTTTCCTCAGTGCCTTGACTGAGCATCCAGGCAGGGCTCGGCGGCGCCTGCGCGCTGAAGGCTCCTTGAGCCCCAGCCGCGTCCTCCCCTGTCGCAGCGGCACAGTCTCCCCCAGTAACGCAGGGGCAGCGGCGGCGGCGGCGCGGTGGCGAGGGCGGTGGCACGGGCTGCTTCAGCCTCCTTGGAGCCAGCAGGAGCCCCTTCCCGTCTCCAGAGCTGGCTGGGCCGGCTGGATGCCCTGGCCAGTTGAACTGACCGAATTAGGCTTTCGTCCCCTGTGGCTGCTTCTGAACTTTTCCTTCCCCGCATTTAAAACAGGGGCTTAGAAAGGCTCCCCTAGGGCAGCGCACGGAGAAGCCACCGAGCCCCGATCGCCCACCCCTCTCCGGCTTCCCGGAACCCTCGTCTGCCCGGAACATGGGCTTCCTTTCTCTTTTGGGAGAGTCCAAAGCATGGGAAGCTTCTTTCAGAATTCTTTAATGATTTCCCTTGCTGACCTTTGAATTTGCAGGTTAGCTGGGGGAAGAGGAGAGAAAAGAAAATAAAAAGGTAAAAAATCTTGTCAATGGGGGAAAGGGGAAGCAGGTTAGGGCAGCCCTGTCTTTGTCAGTCACCATCTATTGTCGAATGCACGCAGATCTGCGTTTAAGTGGGAAGAAGGTAAGTTCAGAGGACAACTGCAAACATAATTTACATTCATTCTACCCTAACGGATATGACTAAAGAAAAGGGTACAACAAATCTAAGTGGCCATTCTTCACATTCCACCCCAGCAAGCAACAGCCTTTCTTCTTCCCTTCTTCCGAGTTCGGCTGACCAATAGGTTGGTGATGTCAAACCAGTTCTGTGTATGACTTTCCTTTCCCCCAAGCTTTGTTATTATAGATGAAAAAAAAAAAATACCAGGAATGAACGGATACATAAAACTTAAACCAGTCCAAAAGAGCCGATGATATCACACACACCACATAGCCTGACACCTGGGTGCTTAGAAATGTCTCTAGACTCATATGTTCTCTCATTTTACCATCTCCGAAGAGTTTTGTCTGTGAACAAGAAAATCTTGTGGTACAAGATTTTCAACAACCACCACCCGCTCCTCACCCCGCAAAGCGAGCAGACGTGCTTTCATTAATTTCCAATGTAAGGTGCTTCTTTTCCTGCAATCTTGCTGCTTCATAATAATCTGTTAATGAAACAGAAAAAACAAAAATCTTCTTTACAGTAATAATTTGAGCTCAAGACAGCAGTAAAATACTTCATTGCTGGGTGGTGAGATTGTGACATTTGGGGGAACTCAAGCCAATCAGCATACAGATAATATAGGTTAATTTACATATTGTGATTCTATTGGACACACCAAGGTAAAGCTTTCTCTGTTAAAGCTCCAAAATGAATACTTCACTATCATGATGTCACAGTCCTTACACAAAGCCCGATGTTGGTAATACTGAATTAATATTAAATTTCCCTGATTTGATTTTGGATTTTCTTTGCCCATTAAAAATGGATAATGATTCGTTAAAATAGAAGGCGGGGGGGAGAAAAAGGAATATATGTAGGGACTTTGCAATCCCTTAACCTAGAAAAATCAATCAGATAGCAATACTGGAAGTAACTTGAGGACACGTCCATCCAAATAAAACAATCTCATTTTTCTTTTAAAACAAATGAATTTAGAAAAAGTCCAAACTGTATAAAGATTTCAACTTCTATGTGAAATGGAAAATTCATTTTTATGGAACTACAAATCAATTTGTTCTTTTTTTTAACTTCCCAATGAGAGTTCCAATGTATTTTACAAAGATCTATTATGTACTGAATTTCTACACTTAAAAAAATCTATAGAATGAGAGACAAAAATAAGTTTGCTGAAGATACATTATTACAGATGTTAGATTGTATGGATTAAGAAAAAAGCTATTTAAAAGTAAATTAAAAGGGTGACTGCACTGCCGGACCATGAGGCAATAATTTGCTCTGCCAAAAGGTATAGGGCTAAGATCCAAGGGTTTAACCAGCCTTATGCTTTAAGAAGTAGATATTGATTCCTTAAAAATAAGAGAGGGCTTGTGTATGAAACATTCATACCCACATGTTAGAGTATTTTCTAGCTGCTTTTTCCTTTGCAATCAAGCACAGTTATACCCACTAGTTCTTTAGTCTTTCCAGCTGTTAGATGAGAATGTCATTTTCTTGCCTCACGAGGGGGCTCACAAAATTAATGAGATATTTTCCATTTACCTCATTAACTCTACTGGAGAAAACATTGGAATCTGCATCTTCCATCAACAGGGATTTTAAAACTATGTTTAGTAGCTGGCAAAAGTTTCATATCATCTACCAGTTCTCAAATTTAAACCTATTGTTTCAAATTGTTTACATCATAGGATTCATATCATAGTTAATTTCTTTTTTGATTTCTTATATCACCAAACATAGAAAAATTGATTTTCAGGTTTCAAATAAAGCAATGAGGCTATTACAACAAAGTCCTTTTTGTCCTAATGCTTTGGTTTGAAGGATTTTAAGGGATTTCAAGCTCTTGGCATATTACATTTACTTTTTTGATCAGAGTATTAGGAAGACTGATGTAATTTGCTTATTTGTTTTTGTAATACATATGTACAGTTTGATTTTTAAAATCAGCCTCTTTTTGTTTTTGTTTTGTTTTTGTTTTTTTTTTTGTAGTACAGGCTGGCCTCGAACTCAGAGTGATCCTCCTGCCTCAGCCTCCTGATTACAGGCATGTGCCACCACTATCAGCAACCACCTTCTTTTAAATTAATTTGCTGTTTCAGATTTTTGCCAAATGATTTTTAGCCTTATGATGGGCAAACAGTATTTTTGTTCCATGCATTGTTTATTTAAAAATGTGTGTCAGCAAATAAACACCCTTTGGTAAATGAGGAGAATGATAGTTCAGAATAATATATTCTAAGGAATATTTTAATTATTCATTTAAAATTTCTTTTCTCCTGCCAAAAGCTTGTTTTAAAGCTTTAAAGTCATGTCTCTTTGGAGTCCTCAACTCTTACTCATATCTAAAGCTATATAAGAGAGCCTTTTATAAGTTTTCTGGAAGTTATTTTGGTAGGAAAGACTCCCATTGACCACTTTTACATGGAAATCTTTTCTTGTTCAAAGAAAATTACTAATCAGGGATAAGTGACCAGTAGGAAAGGAGATTATACATTTACATTTGATAATGTTTTTCACATTTTACTTGCTGCAAAAAGCAACTGTTTTCAAATGACACCTAAGTAACTGAAATTTTCTGGGTTTCATACTGGTGAAAGAATATTCTGAACTTAAAGAACTAACTACCACCAGATTTTAAAATCATACCTTGGGATTTGGGATTAATGATAATCGTAAACATCCTGAACAGTGAGATTTCATCAGAATTTTAATAAGTTTTAAAAAATTAAAAATCTGGCATGTTCTTTTTCAAAATGCTAAAATGTTCATTTGTCAGATTTTTCTCTCTTCTCTGCACAACATAGGTTGTAAAGTGTTAATATAATACACTTTTAGTTTTAAATCCAACATCTCTAAGACCTTCTTTCTCAATTTAAGTTCTAGGCTTTTGAAAACTCAGTGCTTTCTTTGCTGTGGCTTTTATGCAATTTCCTTCTTGCTGAAAACTTAAAGACTTATTGTCTTATTTAATTCATTTGATAAGCATTTGTTGAACCCTTATGCTGTGGGAGCTAAAATACTAGATCTCACAAGAAATAAAAAAGTCAAAGGATGAGACTAGTTTACATTCAGTTCCATTTATGTAGGAAAATGTTTCACCGGTGGAAGTAGAGGGGATGAAATGAACCAAAGCAAAGGAATGGATCTGATTGAAGTATAAGGAGCCACATTTCTTATCAAGTGGTCAGAAATGGCAGCTAAAGAGATTAAAGATTAAGAATTGAATTGCAAGTTGTATAACTAGGAGGCAGAAGACACCATAAACTGGAAGTGGCAAAAATTTTAAAAGGAGCTTGTTTGGCAAGCAAAACAATGAGTAACTTTTAGACTATTGAGTATAAAATGGTTGTGATATTCAGATGTTGTGATATTATATGAGGTTAAAAGAGAAAAGAACCAATTAAGAAAGTACCTATGGATAATGGTGGACACAGGGGCAGTGACAGATGGCATTACCGAAAGATTGTTGAGAGAAAAGAAGACTAAGATTAAAAAAATATGCCATTCCACTCCATCAGGACCACCACCACCACCACCAACAGCAACACCCTAAGAGACGGCCTACCTTTTACAAAGGAGGAGAGACTATAAAAGAACCAGAGATACTGAAAGGGAGGAGGTACCCTTATGTCACAAGCTCTAAGGGAGAAAATTTCAAGGAGGATCGGTCATCAGTGCAAATTGTGACTAAGAAGTTTAGAAGGAAGAGGATCGAGCAGTTATTACTGGATCTGGTGATGAGCAGAGGAGCAAGCTTTCAGAAGGTAGTAGTGGTAGATTTAGACAGCAAGTTGGACTGTGAGGCAACAAGAAGAACAAGTGAAGGACAAAGTCTTAACAGCTTATAAAATTCGGGTAAGAAATTATTTTGCTATTAGTGATAGTACTGTCTTGCTGATAACAATTTTAATGAATTATCTTGATATTTTATGAACAAAATGATATTTAAATAAATAAAGCATGCCTTCTTCAGCAAGTCTTTAAAACTCTTCTTCTATGACCCATTATATGAACATGATACTGTGAATGAGGAGAGTGCATACAAGTTTCCAACTAACACCTGGTAAAACTGTAGAGCATAGTAAAAAAGCCCTTGGTTATCGGGGACCCCTGCACTGGATCCTGATTTCCTCCTCTGTGCTTTGGCTCATGGTGAGAAGAAAGACTTAAGGATAGAATTAAAAAGAGAAATGTGGGGAGCCCAGATGACCAGTGCTGAGCAAGCAAAGGCCCTGGCCAAGTAAAGCCATTGATATCTACTGGTGACTTCATAATTAGATCACCATAAAGGTTGTTGATGTAGGCAAGGCTTGTAAAGGAAAAGACAAAGCATTCTTGAATTAGGAACAGAACAAACAAACTATAGGTTGTGGTTAGCAAATAACCTTGTCTTTCTACTTCAGAAGATTTTAATTTGGAGAAGGGAATTTGGATGTGAGTCAGTCTGACCTTGGTTGTATGTTACCTCATATTAAGCCTCTTAGCTTCACAGGCCATTTCTCTGGTTTCTTCCATGACCATTAGTTGTGGGGGGGCCACCTGATATAGGCCTGTGTGCCATCTGCAATACCCCTGTGAGTCAAGTAAGTGTCAGTTGGACTCATTTCTTAAAGTATGCCAATTGCAGGGTTAACTCTTTACAGCCTGCACAACTCATAGCCTGCTTTGGGAATAATCAGTGGGCAGTCCCCCACACTTGGTCTGTTAAAATATCCTAAATTGTTTCATTCACCTTTGTCCCCATTTGTAAGATGCAGTTAGTCTAGACCAGGAAAAACAAAATGATCTCCATGTGTGTGTGTTACGGTGTGAGTATGTGTGTGCATGCATGTATCTGTAGGGTAGGGGGGAAGGAAAAACTAGGTTTGTTAAAATGATTAAGGATTGAGAAATTAATTTAATGTTTAGCTTAATGAGTCATACTTATCTTACATGGATTATAAATTTTCAAAAATAAAAATGCAGTGTAAATTTTTTAATTCTAGAAGTGTAAGTGTTTATCCATTGATTATTCAGAACTCACCTAAATCTTAGAGTATATTAAGGACATTATTATGAGTACAGTTATATGACAATATGAATAGATTATGATTATTTAAGCTTTTGTGGTGTTTAGCTTTTTGACAAATGAGTACAGTTAAAACATAGCTGAAAGTAAAGACTGTTGCCTTACACTGTAATTTAAGAACTTCTCGTACTGATGGTTCAGACCTGCATTCTGATTTTCTTAATAGCCCTCTACTTTCATTTCTCTTAATTTTAAAAATTTTATAATTTTCTCTTTTATTGTTATAACTATAAAATAAAAGCAAGATAAAACCAACATTTATACCTCTCATAAATATGGTTACTACTTAAACTTGGCTAGCATTTGGTTGAAATGGAAATATGTTCTCCTCTGCTTAATTTGGCATTAAGAAGAACTTTATGAAGACTAAGTCCTCAGGGTAGCATTATTTCATTTATTCAACAAATGGGCTAGTCTCCACTAGAATATTAGTCCTATTATTTTGTCATTGTTTTTTCCTAGTGTCAAAACAAAACCTGGCTAATAGAAAACTCTCAGCACATTTTTGTTGAATGGGTGATTATGATCTTACTACAAAAAAGGTTAATTTTATGGGGGACACTGGGGAGGATATAAGAGAAGGAGAAAGACACTGATACAGACTCTATATGGACTCTGCATTTTTCTTAATTCAATAATGTTGGGATAATTATTTGTGTAATGGGCAGAAAGTTTTCTTGGGCAAGGACTTACTTTGGATTTAGGGAAGTTTTGTTTGCTTTTTAGCCTTATTACATTAGCATTGACATGATTTCTTATTTGCCTTACTACTCAGTAATTTCAAGACATTTCTAATAATTTAATGTCTCATGTAGATTATGAGCCAAGAGCAGATATTTTATGCTTTGAACTCCTAATTTGGTGTTCAAGTACATGACAAAATAACTCTGGCCTTTATCTGACTTTGGACTTATCATCATTAATTTTTTAATGACAAAAAGCTAGTGTAATATATTAAACAACTAAAAATCCAATATATACGAACATATCATAAAAAAGTAAAAATCTCAATAATATAAAAAAACATAATGATGAATAATATTCAAATTGACCTAAAGCTGCCTCTGTAACATAGCATGTAATCAGACTTAGTACTATATATAAGCAAAGCTAATTCACAAATATATTCTTGTAACAAGTAGCTAAGTCTCAGAGACAGCAGCTGAGCTTCTGTCAGTCACAGGCTGTCAGCTGACCAGCCCACACCTATGTAAGGCAAATGCCTCACCAGGCCTTCGTTAAATAACCAAATACTGGAGTGAGCTTTAACCAATCAAGCTATTTCTGCCAGACATTTCCTTTTTTCTATCTACAAATAATGCCAACCTAAATTGCTGGGGGAAGCACTCTGAACCTCTCCTGGTTGTTAGTATTGCCCATTCATGAATTGTTCTTTGCTTAAACTCTCTTAAGTTTAATTTGTGTAAAATGTTTTGCTAATAATGCTTTCTCCTCTGATTTTACCTGTAGATTATTCATAATTATCTATGGGACAAAAGAAGAGTTGAAATGGAAACTTATTATTTAGCTACTTGGCAAAAAACTTTTTAAAGATGATAGTGTTCTTAAATGGTAATCAGGACAATTTTTTCTTGCAATTTCTGACTTCTTTTTAAAAGATAATCCTTTCTCTTTTTTACCTGGAATAAATTAGAGCTGAATGTAAGAAGTTCTTATATAAAATAGTGCTGATTCACCTTAATTGATTACAATAAAAGTCTACCAGCCAAATCAATTTTTAAGTTTTCTTAGCTTGAACAAAGGCCAGAACTCATCATAAAGTTCATAATCTCTGCACAAGGATACAGAGAACAGTATTTCCAACAATTCAGACACAGAGAAGCAACTCACTTTGAAAGACAATAATGAGCAGGGCTGGGGTTTACTTTTTCACTGCATAGAATTTGGTTGGGATTGCTTTTTCCCTTTATCTGAGCTAGAACTACAGAATCCTGTATTGGCAGTTTGGTGATTTATAGTAGCTGTTTTCTGGCATAGCTATAGTTCATGGGTCATTAATCATTTCCATGGGGTATAAGGAATACTGTTGCATGCATTATGAAAAATGTGTCTTATTTATAGAGATTCAAAATATCAAATGTCTTGCATTCATAAACTGTAATATCTGTATTCCCAGGTGTTAGTCGCTATCTTTTTGAATGTCACTGTACTGCAAGGGTGGCCAGGTGAACAGGCTTAGGAGATGGAAGTCGGAATGGTCATATGCTTAGAGTTCCAATATTTGAAGTATTTTTTGACTATGAGTTTCCTATCATTTAATCCCCATTAAGACTGTAGAATTGAGCTATTATTCTAATGTTTTCAGAACTATTTTAAGTTTGTTGGTACATTTTAGGTGTATATTATCATCACATTCATCATTGGGAATTTGTACCTGTATATGTTATATCTTGGTTCTTGTTTTTTCAGATTCCCTTTCCCTCCCTTCCACCCCTCCACCACTCCCTATTTACAAAAGCTTTGTTTCTGTTTTTTCCTTCTTTTCTCATATTTTTTTCTCCCCCCCCATTTATCCTTCCTCTTTGAACATTTTCCTATTTCACATTTTCTGTTACGCATTTTGGTCCTCATTTACACTTTCAGTTTCTCACACCAAAGAAACAATTCGATATTTACACACATGTGTCCAATTTATTTCACTTAAGAGTATTGCCTCAATGTGCATCCATTTAAGTATAAATGTCACCAGTTTATCATTATTTATGGCTAAGTATTACTTCTTTACGTCCAATGTGGTTGTGGATACATTTCCATGACTAAATATTATTGTGTTCTACTTGTACAAATCTATGAGTCTTTGTAAGCTCCAAATCTTTTCTAGCAGGTTACTTCTAAGGGATCCATAGGTCTCTTGCATTTCTTTCACAGTAGATACAATCAGTTAATTAAAAGCAATTACTCTTTCATATAAAAATAAATATTTCTTCTCAATCAGGCATTCACTAACTCAAGTATACCTTGAATACAGGTACAGATGTATATACTGCTTAGCATTATATAAAATCTCTCAACGTACATTGACTCTTTTACACTCAAAATATTTATCAGCAGACAAAAGCTGGGTTGATCCACTGACTAACATAGAGAGTGTTTCTACTATACCTGCAGCTGCTTTACATTCAGCCTCCACTGAACCAAAAAGGCACAACACCTAATCTGTTTGCCCTCTTAAAATTTAATAAGTTCTACAATTTGATTTTAGAATAACCTCATGAAAAATATACGTAAAAATCACAATTTTATCTTGGGGCTCTTTAAGACTTCACTTTCCAGTTAAGAACTTTTTCCCCCATTTATGCAAATTCTTTTTTTCTTTTTTAATTCTTTTCTTTTTTGTGGTACCGGGGATCAAACTCCAGGACCTTGTGAGTACGAGGCAGGCACAGTGCCCTGAGCTAAATCCCCTGACCCAACTCTTGTAAATTCTACAGGGAATTATGCATAGAAATCCTTGGTACTTGGTTGAAAGACTATGTACCCCACAGAGACAGCACTTTTGTATGTAGCCTACTTGTAATCCACTCTATGAATGGTTTGTTTATTGTGCCCCTTGGCATCAAAAAGGTGAGATTCTTGCTGGGGTTTCATGTAGAGTCTTACTACTGTACTATAGAAGAGAATACAAAAATTGACATTTGGTAAGAGGTGGACTGAATTTTTGATCTTACACCTCAATGATGTCTCATTAAAAAGTCAAGAAAGTTGGGTTGATGTATGCCAACATCATCTTCAAAGTATGTACATACACATATGCTCAACATTTAAT